TCGCTCCTCTGAGAACCATGAGTGGTCATTCATATTTCCTTTCATTTCCTTTTCTTTTTTTCTTTCCTTTTCTCTTCATTTTTGAATAATTCCTAACCTTACTACAAATTTTCTTCTGTGGTGTGAACCCTCATGGATCTTCCAAAGCTCTGTGGGTTGGTTTCTCTTCCACGGTAGATTCGGGAAGCTTGCCTACTTACAGTTTTGTACTCATGTAGATTTGTAGGTTGGTTTTTGTTCTATTCTCAGTATGAATTGTACAAACAACCAGTATTGTTTGCTTTTATAATATAAGGATTTTCATGTATTTAAATGTATTGCTATCTTCTATATTGTTATTCATAGCATCTTTTTATTTTAAAAAGAGCAAAAGAAATTAAAACATTGCAGAATGTCAAAACAAGATGATAGGAAATCAACAGTGGCTGTTATGTTGCGTATTGTTATCTTCAAAGTAGGTGTTCAGTGCTGTATGCCGCATCACTTAAAACAACATGTCTTTAAATTACCTTAAAATAATCAATTAGTTAATAATAAAAATGTAAAATAATTGTGGCATTAGAGAGACTGAAGCTCCTAATTGTGTAGATGGAGCACACAAAGAAATCTGAGTTTTTCATATTCCATCTTTGCCTGGGTTTTTCTATTCAATCTCTACTTACTACTTATGAATTCTCTTCTCCTGGATCTGACAAACAAATTCACTGTAAACAAGCATGTATTCACTTATTCAAGGAGCAGATTTATAAAACAAAATCAGTACTTAATGGGTCACAGTAAATATACTTAAAGTGAACATCAAATTACTCATGAGCACTTCTCTTTATATCAGATGGTTTATTTTTTTTCTGAAAACTAAAGAGATTTACTTGGAAATATAAAATTCACTTTATGAAAAATACCAAAATTCATGAGGGCAAATCTATCAACCATACTAGTCTAATAAAATATGTCCTACTAACTGTGGGGATAGTTCTGATTACTTAGAATTAAGGTAAAGTCATCCTACAGCGTAGACAAGAGAAATACTAATATGCTCTTCCTCAACTTCTGTTTTCCTTCCCTTAGGCTCTTTGATGATCATCACCATGGAGTTTGCACCTGTTATTATATAGTTCTTTCTCATTTTAGCTCACTCCCTTTTCATATTAAAATTTAAAATTTTCCATCTTCATTTACATTTATTAATGACTTCTGGGAGGTACCTTAATCATATCTGTAATGAGTTGTTAGCTTCAATTAAAGAAAGTGGCCCTTCTCTAACCTGGATGTCCTTTTCGTGATCTTTATCTACCAGATTTTACAGGTGAACACTTGAAGCATTGTTGTCCACTGATTATAAAACCCAGCTCTCCATAGCCTTCTAATAATGTCAGTGACTTCTTTTTTCTCTCTAGCATTATAAGTGAGATAAAAGATATGATGTACGGAACGCAGATGTACAGCAGCATACAGAGCTGCAATGTAGTGGGTTAAAAACTGATTCCTGGCATAAGAAACAATTGCCTTTCTTATGGCAGTTTTTCCTCATACCATACCGGCTTTGAGCATTACTGAGAGAAGGAATAAAGGAGAATCATTTCATTTTCACAGTATGTGGCATCAGGATATTCATAAAGAATATAATAAACCAGTGGTAGCCAGAAAGTGCACAAGAAGGAGAAGTGTTTGCAGTATGTTTTTAAATAGGTGTGTGGGTTGGCAGAATATTTTAAAACATTCAAGTTCAGCTTCTTGTTGTACTAGTAATCACCCATGACCTTGACTATGGTCCTTTGACAAAGTGTCTTCAGAGAATGCTGAATGACCCAATGTCTACTTTCAGATTCAGACTGTATAAATCTATGAAGATGCGTGATAGATCTACTGCTGTTGAAGTGAGTGATGGGAATCACTCACACGCAGTATATCAAACTCTGCTATTAGCTGATAAGACATTTATGAAAACATAGGTAAATGAATAATTCAAATTAAGTTAAGTATATCCATTTTCTGCATAACATGCTCACTCTGCACTTTTAACATTCCCCACATCCGACATAGTGCTCAGCTCTCTGATAGGTCAGTCTGCCTTCCCTGCTCGCAGAGGGCATCTCAGCAAGGCTTTTGCGCTAAGGAATAAACCCTCACAAGCACTTCAGTGATTCACACAACGGAGGGAGTTTCACTTCCCAGCATATATTATGTTCAGATATTCTTAGCTTTGCAGGAGGACACAGCCACAGTAGTTTGTGAAATAACTTTTTGTTAATGTAGGGGGGAATTGGCTTTCTAGGTGACCATTGCGGAAGAAAATGTATTAGGGTAATAAAGTGGATAAAATAAAGCAGCAACAGAAGATGTGATGAATATGACAGCTTGGAAGAAAAACTGTGGAAACTACATGCACAAAATTGATGATGAGAAGTTAAAACTTTTCAAAAGAAAAATCCAAGCACTACAATTAAACTGTTATCACAGAGAACACAGGGGTATGTGAATAGGGAAGACAAAATCGGCGACATACTTGCATATAAAATGTATACGGAAAGCAAACAAATTTAGCTGTAATTGAATTTTGTTTAAATAGTTACAGTCAGAAATTTTCCTACAAATGTGAAATAACAGGGTATGGAAAGACATTGAAGACTGAGTGTATAGTATAAATTAGTAAGTGGAAAGATTGCTTTTTCTCTGATTAAACTATGTGAAATGTCTAGTAACTCTACCTCTTCATTCATTTGCTCTTACATTTTATTGTTATTTTGCTGATTAAGAAAGAGGGAATGATGGTTTTGAACTATAATGCTTGATTTAGATGAGAAGATTAAAGATTTAAGATCATGTTAGAAATTGAAGATTAATTGCTATAATCTCCAGAGTTTAAAGGGCACAGCCACAACTGAAGTTTGTCTTCCGCTAAAACAAACATATATAAATGATTATTTTGAGTAACAATTACTTCAAATATGGCCTACAGTGGAGACCATAGATGAACAAAGTAGTACTTTAAGATATTATACATCTCATTCATGAACAAGTTATAGTGTAAGTACAGCATTCACAAGATATGTACAAAACTATTGTTTCAATTTAACTCAAAATATGAAGAAAAATGTAATGAGAAAGATGAACAGGCTCACAAAGCCTTAAAATAAGCTTTCACAAAATAAAATAACTGTATTACAGCAAATCACTGGAAATCAAGCTAAGCCATAGTATCACTCCAGTCCTGTCACTGAATGGAGAAGATGAACAACCAGCATCTGGAGAGACTGCGTCTGGGTGGATTGTTCATTAAGAATTTTACATGCTAGCTCTGCTTTGTAATATATGCATTTATTTCTGCCACTTTCACATGGGACTAATTCAACTCAAGACAAAAGAATTTATATGAAAAACCTGCTAAATAACTTTAGCATAGAAAAACAAAAAGAAAAAATTAAAGAAAAGAAAGAGACCTGTCCTCTGTCATCAAAATACGTAGAAGTACATAATAGAAGACATGATGAAAAATTGTCACAGAAAGCAAGTCAGAGGGAAATCATTCTCACCAAGCAAATAGAAAGTACTGTGAGCTCTCACTGATGAATTGTCAAAGCAGGGCAAATTAAAATATTCCTAGTGCAGTCTACAGTGACTAAGTTTATAGTAATTTGAAGTGTATGGGTTGTGTAGAACCCAGTCTAAGGAAAGCAACAGAAGCCAAGAATGTTTAAGAAAGATCCACTTTAAAAAAGAGAGCTGTTGGGCGTGGTGGCACACGCCTGTAATCCCAGCACCCGGGAGGCTGAGGCAGGAGGATCCTTGCGAGTTCAAGACCAGCCTGGGCAACAAAGGGAGCTCAAGGCCAGCCTGAACCACATAGCGAGACCCTGTCTCAAAAAGACAAAAAAAAAAAAAAAAAAAGAGCTGTTATATTATTGTTTAGGGAAATGTTCATAGATTGCTTCACTCAGGCTTAGAAACTTCTCAATCTTATTTATAAGTATGTAAGTAATAAATAACTTTATAAAACAGTTTTCCTTCTAGCGTTTCTAAAACACTTGTTTCACCAATTCCTTGGAAGTTTAAAAAATTTACTTCAGTAAAATTTGCTACATACTTTTGCTTCTTTCTAAATTTCTCTCACATGATATTTGTCACAGTTGTACCAAATGAGTATTAATGAATATTAATATTAATGAATATTAATGAATACTAGTGTGAATTTTAAGGTGTGTGGCTTTGAATTCACATTTCATAAAATATGAGTTTAATATTCAATCGGCATAAAGGTGGGATCACTAAATAAAGCATCAAAATGACAAATACATGATCTCACTCTTATGTGAAACAAAAAAGGTAACCTCCCCTTCTAGCCACAGGGGAAAGTAGAAGGGAAGTTAGGGAAATGTACAAAGTTACAGTTAGTACTACACAATCGGGCAGTAACTATCATCAATAGTAACTCACTGGGTAATTCAAAATAGCTGGCCTATAGGTGTTTGTATGTTTCACTACAATGAAATGATAAATATTTAAGGTGATAGATATAATATATTAAGTGCCAGATAATGTACTATGGTGACAGATATACTAATTATGTTTATTCAATCATAGCATATAAAAATTAATCAGAACTTGTTGTATCTTATAATTTTGCATAATTGTTTTATATAGCAATTAAAATTTTCAAAAGAGATAAGCCTAAAGAATAATTCTCAATAGTTCCCCAAAGTGTGGATGGCGATGATTTAGCTTCAGAGCCCAAATTCCATTTCTATACCTCAAAGTCATGCTTTGTATCTGATGATGAACTATACTAATTTTGCATGCCCCACCTTGAATTTTAATCATTTGGACGCTTTCTAAAGCATAAGGTTTCCCTCAGTTACTAAATGTCTGCTGCAATAAATATTCGTTGCTCAAGATCTATTAATGGCAGTTCAAGGATTTGTAGAAAAAATGTTTTGTTCTGCATAAGAGTGAAGTTCTTCATTTTTTCTTATGATGATAAATTCACATTTACATACCTTCACAGTCACAGCTCACACAAGCTGCATTTTGAGGACAAGCCTCCAAGTAAATCTTGGTAATGTTGACTTTTAAATAGACTCTCATTGGTTTTCACTTGCAGATGTTCTTTGCCAAAAACAGGTCTTACTTTCACTAAAATCAATATTAAAAATTAGGAAAAAATTAGTTTGAGGTGATATTCTCAATTCAAGATTTTCAAAGTTTATTACATCAAAAAAAATTTCCTGAAATTAGAATATTTGCTTAATTTCAAAAATAATGACAATGTATCATAGTAATGCAGTTTACTTAAAACCGAGTTATCATATGTATTTTTTAAGATTTAAATATGGAAAATCTGAATAGTACAAAACCCACCATGTAATTTCACTTGAAAAAAATAATTTCTTTTGTAAATGGGATTTATCAAATAGTAGTAACTGGCAAACTCTACTTTCTGTAGAATGATATATGAACCCAATATTAAATTTTAGAATATAAACTTGAGAGATAAATGTAAATGGTTTAAGTGCATAGCTTTACACAGCTCTTCATTAATAAATTTGTATTGTTTTTCCAAAACATAGACAAAAAGTGTTTTCTTTTCTTCCATAATCCATTTTTCTATGCAGTCAACCAATTTCAAATATGGAAAACTATTTTTTGTGGCTTTGGAAGTTGTGTTGGATATGTTTCATTTTTCATGTGAATTGCTGACATCATCACGATGCTGATACACACGCAGCTATCCTAATTTCAAGCTCCATTAGCAACATGGGAAATATTATATTGCTTACATTTATAGAACAGAAGAAATACAGACCTTCAGATAATATAAAACAAAATAAAGGGTAATACTCTTCAACTCTTGAAATAAAAAGACAATATATCTAAAGTAATTCACCTTTTGCTGTTACATTTGAAGTCTTAAGCATTAAGTAAATACTCCCAATAAAATTACTTTTTGAGTATTTTTCAGTAATCATTATATGTAGAATCCTATTATTTTAGCTACAATTTAGCTTTTAGAACCTAACCATTATTTGAAAATGAAATTTTTCTTAAGAGTTCAATAAATTATTTAACTAGATATGTCTTAAAACCAAACAATGCATTCCAAAGTGAAAAGCAGCTTAAAAGAAATTCATAAATTTATAATGTATTTTAGTTTTTGCTGGGGACCTGAACCAGGGCCTCCACCATGCTGGGCAAGCGCTCTCACTGAGCTGTAACCCAGACCCCAAAGTTTTAATTATTTTCAAAGTATTTCCAAAGAAACACTCGCACTCTGCAGCTGATCACTTCTAAATTCGCGCCTCCAACCTTGAAACTTACAGCTTTTACTTGACGATGAGATTCAATGTACAGCTAACAAGTTGTCGTCACACATCCATGTCTAAAGGAGATTTCAAATCCGTGGCATCTAAACAGAGCTCCTGAGGTCTTCCTTCTCCTCCTGTCAAATAATGTCCCATGCTGTTCAGCTTAAGGATCCAGAAACCCACCGAAAATGTCTTGTTCAAAGTTCTTTCAGTTTGAATTACCAATATTCAAGAACTGTTTAAAATGGCTTCAGTACTGATTGCCTAAGTTTCATTCAACATTACGTCTTAATGGCACTATTGCAATCTCTTTGAACAATTCTACTTTTATGTCACACACAACCGAAACTACCTGCCAACTCTCTTCTGTAGGGCAGCAAAAGATATCTTCTCAAAGCCTAAATTGAAAATTTTCTGTCTTACACTTAAGACACAGAAGCAAAATTCCATGCAACTGAAATAAATATTTGAACTCCTCATATTGCTTACCTTTAGGAAATTTCAAATAATGGTCTACATTTAATAACCGACATCATCGCATACAATGTATCTTTTAGTCAGTACATTCTGATTACCTTGACCTTCTTTCGAACAATTTCACCTTCAGTAAATCTTCTAGGGTCTATTCCTGTCCTTGCCTGGCATTCCTCTCCCAAGTGTTTTTGTGATTTCTTTCTTCAGAGTTCCTAACTCAAATCATGTCTTTAGAGAGGTTTTCCTTGATCATGCAATTAAAGGGACCCTGCCCAACCCTTTCTATTCATTTCTCTGTCGTAATCGTGAACAGTTGTTATATTTTTCTGTAGTTATTTTCCATCTGTCACTTACATGTGAGTAGCAACTCCACCAGAATATGAATTCCAAGCATGCAAAAAATGGGAACTTTCTGTCTTCTTCTTCTCTGTATCCATAGCAATTAATGCAAAACTGGTCCAATAACAGGCTATCAATGATGATTTTTAATTATCTAGCCATAACTTATGTCTTTCACTATGGTTTGTGTCTGGATGTCTCCCTAAAGCCTTACGTGGTCATGGTGGTGTTGGCATTTCAGAGGTGGTTGCATCTAGAATCTATGATTGGCTCATTGTCTAGTGCTGGGATTGTGGGAGTGACTGCTAACCCACCCTAGGTTGTGTAGCCTGCATACAGTGTAAGGGATGGAAAGGTGCTTGCTTCTACCCCTTTGCTCTTGCTGCTTTTGCTGTCTTTGGTCACCATGAACTGCTGCCCTCCAGCCGTGCCACCCTGCCTTGGAGCCCCGTGATTATGGACTTAAACCTCTATAAACTGTGAGCTAAAACACCTTTCCTCCCTTAATTGTGAGTGTCCGGCATTTTGTCTCAGCAATGACAGAAAAGTAAGTAAGACATCTTTCTTCCATGAGATCCAACCAACTACAACTGTGGACATGGACTTGATTCCCAACTAAGAGCTCACATTATCTGATGAAGGTAGGTAAGATGAAGGAAATGATCGCATTTATGTGGATTCCTGTTTCCTCTTACTGTTGTTGCTACTTCCTCACAATTTTGCTGGTGGAAACAGGTAAATTGGCTGCCCTGAAATTTTCTTCTCTCATTTCTCAATAATTTTCTATGACAGAGTCATGCGCTATGGCTGACTCACAGAGATTTGAAGCCTGTCTGCTGAATCTGACACAGGTATCCTTCCCAGAATGAAAGCGCCATGCTGGCAGTGGTCCTGGCTCATTTGTTCAGAACTCAAACTAGGGACAAAAGGGTAAAGATCTACCTTTTCCATCACTGAGTGTTATTATCAGTTTAGGTCAGTCCACATTCAATAGGCCTAAATTTCCAGTGTCATGGATCACAACGTTTTGTTCAGAAGCTTATGTCTCAGAGCAAACAAAATATGTAATAAATAGTAACATGAGCTGTGCGAAATATTCATAATTTCCTCTGGGAAGAACTCTATAAGTGCATCAATTAAACACTGTCTTCAAGGAGTAAAGGCTTTTCCAATTTTCTCACTCAGTCCTCAGGCTCTGAGCAGGTCCCCAGCTATCTGAATTACGCTACAGACGCTACAGAAGAGGGCTGTGGCATTTTCCAGCATCACGGGTAAACACAGTCAACTGTTTCTTTTGTGTGTCCTTTTTTAAGGGAGAAATTGTTCTGACAAGTCCCTCCTCAAACTATCTTTTTCAAATTATATTGATTGGAATTAGATCACATTTGTCCTGTGGAAATCATGTGGAAATTAGTTTCTAGATTCTTTATTCTTTATAGTGACTGGAAGGTTGCAGTCTTAAGGAAAACACAGCTATGTCTGCCTCAGAAATTGTCTTTGATATATGTCTTGAACCACTTCCCCAAAGTCATAGCTGGACACCAAAATATGTCAGCAAGTGGTATTTTCTATTTTGAACATAAAGTAATTCCCTTAAACAACTTTTCCGTGATCACTGTATGAGTCATCTTACTGTCACTGGGACAAATGGGGAAAAATGACTTAAAGAAAGAAAGGCTATTTTGCTGGTTGGCTCCAAAGCAGAAGCACATGGCAGAAGGGCAGAGTGGAGAAAACCTGCTCACCTCATGGCAGTCCAGGAGCAGAGAGAGAATAGAGGAGCCAGGGCCAAGGATACAGCATTCCACACCCTGGGGATGTCCCTCCAGCCAGGCCTTCTTTCCTCAGGGTGCATGAATTCATCAATGGATTAATCCACTGATAAGCATCACAGCCCCAAGACCCACCCACTGTCCAAACCTTGAACTTTTGGTGGGTATTCTAGATATAAATCAAAAGAACCATTTTTCCTAGATTTCTGAAGGAATCAATGAGTGTCTCCAAATTTCTGGGTTCACTTCATTTCTATCCCATGCTGATTAATTTCTTAGTAGAAAGCCTCAAATCAATAGAGCTGAAATGGACATAAGGCAAACACATAGAGAAAATGTCGGAGATCTACTACCTGCTACCAGTCTTCAGAGATCAAGGAATAATTAACCAAGTGAAGAGCATGCTAAAGCAAAATGAGATTTTTAGGCACATAAGTAAGAAGAAACAGAATATATAAAGGCACAGAAGAGGTTTCCTTATTGATGGAATCATGAATAGACAAGGTTGTTTTTGTTAATTTAAATATTGTCTTTTCAAACTTTGAAAAAGAGTAGCAGTATATCATGTGGTAAGAAACTCCCAGAGGAGAGCTTTGAAAAAGGGTTTAGAATTGATCAGATAGGGAATATAGTACAGGTGAGAAAAAGTAAACATCAAAGTGATGTGGTCAATGGGGAGTGACGGTGCGTGCCTGAAATCCCAACTGCCCCAGAGGCAAAAGCGAGAGGATGGTGACTTTGAGATCAACATGAGAAACTGAAGAAGATCCTGTCTAAAAATGAAATTTCAAAAGGACTGTGGTGTGGCTCGGTTGTAGAGCTACTTCCCAGGATGTGTCCCTGGGTTTTATATCCAGTGCTACAAAAAATAAAGCAATGATATCAACATAGCACTATTAACTTAATTCTTCGTTAACTCTCATCAATTTTTGCTAATACTAATAAGTTTCCTGTAACTGGTCTCACAATATAATCTTACTAAGCTGAATTCATTTATGGAGTGGCCCAAATTACTTGCTCTGCCCTGAAGTGGGAGATCTTACTCTGCAAGGATTTTTACTTTCTTTCATGAAATTCTACTAATCAAAAAAAGTCATGTCACTTCTCTGATAAAACTGTAGATGTAAGATATATTAAAGGTGTATAATTAACAAGAACGCCCATGTTATTTGATGCTATCCATAGTTGGTTGGAAAATATCAGGAAATTGTTGGTGTTTCAGGCCTAACATTACTGGAAAGTAGTTACATCATTTAGCATTATTGAGGATAACTCTAATAGTAGTTCAACCCCCAAAATACAGAAACCAGATGTACATGACTAAGGATTTTATCAGAAATTGAGTAATGATTATAAACTACTCCAGTACAGAACTCTGTGCTGATAGAAAGAAAGAAAGAAAAGGGTGAATTTGAAGATTTAAACAAAATAATTGACTCTAAAATGTATGAAAATGTGATACTTAATGAATAAAAAAGGGAAAAGTTTTATTGGGAAAATTGATCTTTAAAAACTGGAAGACTTCTTTGGCTGAAAATTCTTAATAAGCAAACAGGAGAAAGGAGATTTGGATCCAGAAAATTGTATGACGAGAGGACAGTCCAGTCTTAGCTGAGCGTTCATGGTGGACATCTCAAAGACCAAGGAGTGTTTAGAAGACCATCCAAACAAGAACTTAAAAACAGAATTGATAAACGAGAAAAGGTTATTTGAAATTTCCTGGCAGGCATGTATAGAAAAATCAGGAGTGTTACTCTTTGGCTTTTCCAAATGAACAGTGACTAGCATTTAAGGAGAGAAAAATGAGGAACTAATGTCATAAACCCAGTTTAAGATTAGCACAGTGGGGAATAGGGAAGAACAGAAAGCAAAGAGAACAAGAATTCCAATAGGATAGTTACTAAAACATTAATATTGGAGTCCAGAAAATGTACAAGTACTTGGATGTATTTTGTAAAGGGTCTTTGGTTTGCAGGTAGAAATTAAAGTAAGTATAGTAAGGATGAGACGATTGGAAAAACAGAAAGATAGCTGCTTGTGTTTAGAAGTCGAATACTTAGATTGCAAAATCCCATACACCTCACAAAAAACTGTGGTCATGTCTCAGCAGTAAAATATAAAGAAAGTTTAGGATAATGGAAGCATCAACAACTTGGAGGATTGCACATACCTAATATTTGGCTGTTAATCATTTGACAAATATAATCCTCCTATATTCTAAGTCTATGTCATTTACATTGATGTCTATACTGTAAGCCCAGGGGTAGTTCTGAAACCCGCTTTAGCCAGTCCAAACAACACATGAACAGGGAGGGCCACAATAATTCTGGACTAGCTGAGTGTCTGATATACGCTAGTTTAGTTCTAGGACTTCTAGAAAACACTTGTGGTCACTTGAATTTAAAATGTAAACTTGATGGTGCTCCTGAGCATCATGATACCTCAAGGAGATCATCCGCCTTAGGGTGGAGCAGCCTCAGGGAAATGATCCACAGAAATAAATGACAGGAAGGAAGATAGTAAACACAAGACCCAGTGCTATAACAGCACTTTGATGAAATTTTCCATACAAATTCTACTTTAATTATTTACTCAGTGGCTATCTAAGTAGCACTTTGACATTTGTAATCATAAGTTTCTAATTATGAGTAACTACCATCAGGTCTGGCATTTCTTGAGGAGCAGAAGTAGAGAGAAAAAAATGTAGCCAGAACTCAGTAGCAAACTATTAGTGGTAAATATTTTCATGTCATTTGTTGTTCTTTTTCACCTGTTTTTTACACAAATCTTAACTGCTATAATAGGAACATTAAATTAATTGTATCTAATCACATCCAATTTAAATTTTTTCAGCGATGTGAGTTAATTTAAAACAAGGGTAATAACAGCATTCTTTGAGGGGCAGAAAAAGACACAGAAGCAGCAATAAGTAAAGATAACTTCTAATCTGTACAGCTTTTACTGCCTTTTGTGAAAATACATGCTATTTGGAAAAGAGCTCTCCACAGTATGGGTTCACCCCTGAAAAACGTTGACTGCACCATCACCTAAGTAAATAATATAATAAGTACAACTGGAAATAAATTAATATTTAGTGCAGCAATGGCTGTTTTATTTCAGTGACTTGGATGGAAAAGCTGCAATTATGGAGCTTTCAAGGCTGATAGCATAATAATACAGTTCTTTATCTGATTTACAGAGAATACTGCCATTTGAAACAAAAGAAAAAGAGTACCTAGGACTGAATGAGCTCAAATTAAATGACCACAATACTCAGATTTTTTCCCTCTTAGATAAGAAGATATCATTTGGCTGAAAGAATGGAGAAAAAAAAATAGGTAGATTCTATAGCTTAGGTGACAGCAAATGGAATACCTTTCACCTCTAATTGACTGAAATGGAGGCAGTCTCCATAGAGACTGAAATTCCTCCAGGAGAGATGGCAGCTCAGGGGAAAGCTGCAGATGGCCGGCAGTGTCTCCTTTCTAAGAGATCAGTACGACACCAGGACGGGAGTCACCATTTCCATAGCTGACCTTGGACGTTATCCTTTCTCTATTTTTTATAATATTGTGCTTTTGGAAAAAAAAATCAGTTTAAGGGATTGTAACTTGTTTATGGTAATACACTGAGGCAAGGGACATTTTTGAATTGATCTAGTCTTTAAAACACTGTTCAAATTATCAAGCTTCCTTTCTTATCCATCAATATGTACTAAGTTTTGCTCCTTCTGTATGATTATGATCTGAAATCCTGCCATTATATTGTCACGATTAAATGTTATAATTGAAGTTTGTGCATTCCATCTCTGGTAGTTTAAATTTTAGTAAATAGAATTATACATTTTAATATCAAAATAGGAAAAGGGATCTTCAGTTAGCCACTGATTTCTTAAACCGTCCTATCTTCCGCTTGTTTTCACTGTAACACATTTTCCTGTCTTTTCATCTAGTCATTGGCGATATATTTGCTTTCAGAATTTTGTCTTGGGTTTTCTTGCTCTAAGTATTTTTTAGAATTGCATTTATCATTGTATTCACCGCAGTGAAAAATAGGTATTTTTTCAGCATTGCATCCAGGATTAATGTATCTGTAATGAAAGAACTCCTAACCTGTCCCTCAGACCCTCATCTGTGGGATCTGTTCTACTCAGAGAAGGAGATCTTTTCTTTTAAGCATGAATCAGATGATGTTACTTCTCTGCTTAAATCCCTTTCACGGCTTTCTGTTGCAGAAATAAAAACACTCAGAACGCTTTGCAGGGCTCTGCATTTGGTGTACCCTGTTCTGCATGCCCCCCTGCCTTTCCAACTCCTTCAGCCTTCTAGAGCGCCGTTTCATTTCAATTCCTCAGAAATGTTACCTTTGTTTACTCTAATTGTGCCGTTCTTCCTGCGACTCTAGATGAATGGAACATTTTTCTTTGGCATTATTTAAAATGCCATGGCTTCAAAGAAGTCTCTCCTGATACTTTATTTTAAATAAGTTCCCAGGTGTTATTCCCTATATTAATTCTTATGCTTCCCTCAACAGCACACTACAGTCCAGAGTTCTTTGTTGATTGGACTGTTGCTTAGTTCTCTCTTCCTTTCCCATGAGAATGGAAGTTCATGCAGCCCAGATCCTTCTGTATTGTTCACCAGTCCCAACCCTTAGCTGAATGAACCTTTATTACGTGTTATAACATAGTTTATCAGATATATACATATATGTAGACCAGGTATATATTTAAAAGGTAGTCCCACAAGTGGAAGCTTCTTTTGATTTTATCTAAAATATCGATGTGACTTATCCCCTCAGCCACCCAAGGTATTTACTTAATCACTATTTTGAAGTAATCACTTGCTAGTATTCCAAATCCTGGGTTTCTTTCTACTTTTCTCCAGGGAATTTATTGCAATCTAACAACACATTTAAATTAATTATTTGGGTATTGTCTCTCCGCTCTGTAAACTCTATGAAGCAGTTTATGATCTGTTGTTGTTATTTTACTGAGATGATTTCGACTCACAGAAGATTTTGGTTGAGGATTTGATTGATGTTCCAAGTTAAATGTTGACAAATGTAGACAAATTATTTTGAGAAATAAGGCTTTATATACTACCATCTTAATCATTTATAATATTCACAAGCATATTAAGTTCCTGATAAATGCTACAGTGATAAAATAAGCTAATCTTAACTCAGTATTTTAACAATGTACTTCATCACAAGGCTTCTGTTAATATCTTGTAGAAATAGCACACACTACAGGTTACATCTGGGTGAGGAAAAAGCCTTTAAAATGGATTCAGTGCTTGGATATAGCCTTTGGAGTCACCTGGTGTAATGCCTTCCGTTTTCAAGTAAGGAAAGTGACGATAAGATTTTCAGTGTGATTTGTCCAAGAGGCAAAGCTCATTGGTGACAGGGCCAATATTAGGTCATTGCTCTTCCTGGTATCCAGGAACATGCTACTTATATCTCCTCTGGACAAAGTAACAAATACCTGCAGCAACATCAACGTAAAATACAAGATGTTGCAGTTGATCCAAGGCACTTTGGTTATGCAAACAAAGATCAGTGTCTGGAACATAATGCTCACTTAGCATTTGTTGCATTAATACATGCCAACTGCCTTATTTTCTATACCACAGAAACTATTTCTAGCGGCATGATATGCTCTTCAGGTCAGGAAGAAATGTGTGAAGTGCAAGAGTCTGGAGTACTACATAGTACTGAGCTTAGAGAAGTTCAAAATGGAAGCACTCTACGAAAAGATTTCCCAAATGATTCTTTGTCAGATTATCTTGCAATGAGCACGCAAGCACTGAACAGTCTGTGCATCAACGTCATATCTACCCTGGGGTGACAGCTGTGTTGGGGAAAACTGCTGCAGTTTACAAGCAGTTCATCTTTGTGGTTTAAATGAGTAGATATAAAATTACATTTCAGGTTCCACTTTTGGGGCTGGGGATTTAGCTCAGTGTCACAGCGCCTGCCTGGCAAGCACAAGGTCGTGAGTTCGATTCCAGGTACCAGAAAACAAACAAACAAACAAAAAAATAATAATAAGATTCCACTTTTGCTTGTTATTAAATCTTAAGAGTCGGCATTGAGATGTGCAGGGGTTAGTTTTAGAGCAGGATTAGCTGTTATTGTTTGAAGCAAAAGAATTTGAACTGTCACAGAAATCTGGTGTACATCCGCGTGCCTCCTAAAGTCTTCTTTGGCACATTTTAAAGTGGTCTAAAATAGTTACTTGCTTTCCTATTGCATTAAGAAGAATAGACTGGCGATTACTAGTGGAAGACCCAAAATTTAAAGATGGGTACACAAATAGAAAGAAAAACTCCCAGCCATTTCTACAGATGTTACCTTCAGTCTATGGTCACAATAAAAATAACTAGTGTGAACAAGACACTAATATAAAAATAGTTCACCTGAAATTATTTTGAAAGAAGTTAAGCACAATGAAAACAATTCTCTTTCTTTCTTCTTTTTCACGTGAAACAGTGCTGCAAACGCACTTTTTCAATACATCAATATTTGGCTTTTACCAACAATGTGCTGTGTTTAGCATTTTGGGTCAACTAAGGCCCCAGAGTAGTTTCCTAGTACACACAACTGGCGTGTACATTTGGTTCTTTCTGTTGCAGAGTCGTGTCTGGGCGTCAGCTCAGCGGACCCTCTCCAGTGGGATCTGCCACCTGAGGCTGCGTCAGTCTTAGCAAACATTCATTTGCTACATTCCGGTGAAGCTCTTCTAAATCTGGAGTCTGCAAGAGCCCTTCTGCTTTCTGCTTACCATTACCCTCACTCCCGCGCAGTCACTTGCGCATTTATCTCCTCGTTTTCAGATCTAACAGCGTCCTCGTGTTCTGGTTCTCCTCAATCAGTTCTGACCAGGGCCCCTACTGGCTTTATCTCCATTTCCCAGTCAGGGGTCAGTGTGCAGGTCCACACAGGCCTTCCTCGGCCTTTTAAACAGGGTCGTCCACTTACTCAGTCCTTCCAATTTGCCTCACGGGATAGCCCATTAATGTCCTCTTAAGCGCCTTGTTAAACAGTGCTTATAGATCTAAATTCATTTTTCCTGGTAGTACATTACAGATAAGAGCCATTTGGTCCTCAGACTCACAAGACCTGTTACCTGAAGTTACTCCCTCACCTGGTAACTGGGAAGAACTTATCAAACTCAGGTTTTTCTACGACGGTTTAGCGCTGACTCAAGCCCAGGACCCAGAGAGGCGTCCTACGTATTTACAGTGCACTTGCCATCTAAGCAGAGTTCAGCCTAATGGAACAAACTTTCGCCATCGTTGTTTGGATGCAGGCGCAGCCCTCTACCAGATTCCACCGACCCTCTCGCATTCTGTGCAGAACCACTGCTTCTCCTTCCAGCAACGGTCTTCCCAGCAAATGACTGACATTAGCTAACTGCTTCATTTAACCTCCTTAAAGGGCCTCTGCATTTTTCTACAAGATTTTTCATCATTGCCTTCCTCATATATTTTAAATGTGTATTATAGCGAACAAAGTCCATGGTTTCCCATGGGTCATAGCACTAACCTTCCCTCATCCTCTGAATAAGGGACACTCTTTCTATTCCTAACCCGTAGTCCCTGCACTCGGACCACCTCTTGCCACACCTTACAAGCCCAACCACACACACACTGTTTTCCCTTGGCTTTTTTAACACTAGCTGTCTCAGTTATTTTCTCTGTGTGCTGAGACAAAGTACCTGCCACCCAAAATGAAGGAAGGAAAGGTTTATTCAGCTCGTAGTTGTGAAGGTTTCAGTCTGTAATCAGTTGGCTCCAAGGCAGGATGGCGTGGCAGAGGGGCAAATTTCATGACGGTGGAAGACAGCGAAAGCTACAAGAGGAAAAAGGAGGGGAAAAAGCCTCTCTCCCTCCCTTATATTGTGTGCTCGCTACCCGCCCTCGGGCGGGTGCAGCACTCACACCATCACTGCTCCCTCTTCTTGCACAAGCTCAGGATGTTTACAAAGTGAGGACCCTGGCTCCCTGCTGGATCACCTAGTTAAACTTCTAAACTTCTCAAGTTGACACAGTGTATCAACCATTGCACTGACTCATATCAACTCATTACTCAGGTTATAGCCTGGGCAACACTTATAAGGTCTGATTGAGTTTCCTTAGGCTTCATTTTATACAAGGTATGTTTTCTCCAGCAATTATATGCTCTTGTGTGTTAGTGCAAATACTTTTTAAAAAATTGCTTCTCAAGTAGGTTTTGAAAAAAATCATCAAAGGATAATGGGAGATGGGCCATCTATCTGTAACTCGTTCATAAAAACCTAGATATTTTTTAGGTTCACATTCAATCTCACTATTTTTCTTGCAGACTTTATATTCCTAGCCTTTGAATTCATATGTTTAAAATATTTATATATATGAAATGATACGGGCATTCCTCTTTGTGTATATGTATTCTAAAATGATATTCTGAGGAATCTGTGGATGATACATTTTATTTGAAGAACTGTGAACTGCCTGGAAAACAATACTATCCACAGAGGTGAAACCTCCTTATTATAATTGCACACGGCCCCGCAGTGCGAGCTCTTTCCTCAAGCAGCCATGCTATTCTTCTGAACAGCAAGCTCTTATTATCAGCTATCCAACATTATTTGCAGCACTTAGAAATATTTATATTATTTTTCAAATTACAAAAACTTGTTTTATATATTTTGTCATTAATTTGTTATTATTTTTGCATGGGTCATTTAATTTTTGCAACTCTATCCATTAAGCACTGCTTTAGTTACTTTTCTTATTTCTGAGACAAAATGTGAGCACCCAAAATTAAAGGAGGAAAGGTTTATTCAGCTCACTGTTTCTGCGGGTTTCAGTCCATAGCTGGATGGCTCCAGGTCAGCGTGAGTTTGTAGAGAACAGTCCATGACGGGCAGAAGACAGAGAAAGCAACAAGCCACGGAGGGATAGGCCTCTGTCCATCCCTTATATTTTATGTAGGCTACTTGCCCTGGGTGAAGTGCTGTGCTCACACCCTTAATCCTAGCCAGAACTGTGTAAAACCAGTCAGTGGACTAGTGTACTAATCACACACCCTTAATCCCAGCATCACACACTACGGATTCAGCCACCTGTGTAAAGAGCACCCCTACGACTGCACGAGGATTGGCAGGACATCTAGCCACAAACCATAACAGGCATTGGTACGAGTACCACTTCGTTTTTGCAACTGGTAGCATCAGCAGTAGTTTCACCTTGAAACTGGGATTTTTTTCTTTACATGGCCATCCTTTGAACCAGTGTTGGATGCTGAATAATTGCTCAACAAATTTGGATCAAAGATTAGAGCTGGAAATTAGAATTCCCACATTCATTTTATTTATTTTACTTTATCAATGTATTTCAAATTCATTACAGTCTTGAACAAAGTATGAGGATCTCTTTGACAAGGGATTCATCACCACACACTTTAAGTGGTACATTAATGTCATTCAAATAAAGCACCGTACACAAACTTAACTTTATACTTACACAAAAATAACTTTTGCAAATATTGGCACTTCCCAAGGTACTCCCTTAGGTTTGCATACTAAGGATTGGATCTCTCAATTACAGATTGTGAAGCAGTGATTTCAGTGATGAAGACTCATCTGATATTCTCTATGAAAGATAGGTGTAAGAGAGAGAAAGAAAAGTTTGAGTACAAGAAAAGTTGATCTATAGTGCAATTGCAGCCAACATTTCACTGACCCAGAGAGGAAATGGAGGAATGGGCTGCGCCCCAGAGTTGTCTCCCTTGAGGCCAGGAAGCCAAGCCATCGTACTCACCCTTCTACGCAGCACCTGCTTGCCGAGTGCCCCTCACCTGGGGAGTGGCCGCAGCCTTGGAAAGGCAGCTCTGAAGGCTGTTCATTCAAAAGGGATTTTGCTGTGAGCCACTGGCAGGCAGAAAGCTGTGGAACTGGGCTCCTCAGTACTAAAGAGAACGGAGTGGTAGACCTCTATATCCACATTACCCACATGTTTAACAGAGATTAGGAATGATAGAATTGATCACATTTTTAAATGATCAATTAATCTCATGTCAGAATATATCTGTCAGTATAGCTATGCCTTGTTCTCCTTAAAATTATCAATTTACAGTTTGTATTTTTTTCTATTCTGTCCCATCACTAAAATATAGGTACTACAATTTTTGAATCTTTTTGACCTCCAACAACTAGGAAATGCTGTGCTAGTGGTAGACAAACAATGAAAACTGGTACACAAATGAATAGAACCTATGTAGATATAATATAAATTATTATATAATTCATATCATATTATTATATAATATAAATATTATTATATAATATAAATATATAATATATATTATATAATATAAATTATATACATATAATTACAAAACACAGCATATTTCTTAGTTTACGGAGACTTGAAGTGACTCTTTTTTAAGCAATGAACTGACTCTGAACTCATGGTAATTGGCAGTCTTGTTCACAGTGACATAACCAGTAATACCTGATCCGAATCTGGACATTATTCATTGTGAAATGCTTCTTCTTTTATTTCTGTGATATGTTGTGATTTGCTCAGACAACATAAGACAATGAAAATGTAGAATACGATTTAGACAAAAGTTATATTTTGAGTGATGCAGCATGTGAATAAAGCAAAGCTAATTTTTCATTGGTGTTCTGAAAAATACTTTCTATTTCATATATGAATGTGATAGCTGATATTATCAACTGGATTGGATTGAGAAACACCTCCGAAATCAGTGAAACACCCTTCTGACTGTGAGTGGGAGGGTGTTTTCAAGTATGGTTGGATTAAGAGGGCTCTAGCTGCATCAGTTGAAGCGCTCAGAGATGAACATACAGGGTCCACTAGGAGGAAGTGGGTCCCCGGCGCTGCCTCTGGAGAGTTCCTCGGGTTCCTCCTCCCTCTGCCTGTGTCCTCTCTCTCCTTCTGCTTTCTCCTCGCTGTGAGGTGAGCAGCTCCTCAGGCCTAGAAGCATTGGGGCCAGTGACCACGGACGGAAACCTTGGGAACTGCGCGCCTAAATAAATATTTCCTCTTTTACATATCTCCCAGGTACTTGCTCACAGGATCAAAACACCGATTAACACAGTAGAAACCGCGTTCTTTCTGAACATCTGACTACATTTACACAATTAAAGAGCCTATAAATGTGTAATGACCGACAATTTACTGAATTATTTGGCTTTTTTACATTTATATAGGCCTTAATACACTCTAAGTGCAGGTGAAATAAACAGGTAAGAAACCTCCAAAAATGCGAATAAGAGAATTTTCTTGCATTTGAGATTGTCTTTTAGTTTATTCAAAAAGCAAGCGTTTCAGCACATGAAGATCTGTAAACCGAGGTCACGGAAAGCAAGTGCATCATCTGTCTCGAGCACCTGTCAACAACCAATGTCCTTGCAACGTTCTAAGGTAGAGCTGACTCCAACTCTATCCTAGGAATAGAAGACAGTGGTGCTTCATCGGCTGTCCTTTCCAACAGATTTGTTCTCACTGCCAGGAAATTGCAGTCACTGGTGAAATTGCAGATAGCAATAAATAAATAAACAAAAATGTATATATATACACACAAGCACACATACACATATATATACGTGACAAAACTGAGTTTTTTTGTTTTTTCTTTTGGTACCAGGAATCAAACTCACAACCTTGCGCTTGCCAGGTAGGTGCTTTGCCTCTGAGCTAAAGCCCCAGTCCCTGAACAAAGCTGTTTTTATCACTGAGGAATGCTCTTTCTGTTTAAGCTATGTACAAGGGAAATGTAATTGTGTTTCCTCACTACTGCTAGATCTTATATAGACCTTCCAGTTTAGGAAAATAATAACAGACCATCTTATAAATTTTTATGCGTATATGGGTAGATAATTTTTATTTCTTCTTAGTTTGGGTGATTTGCAAAACTGAATGACATTTCTCTACAAAATTATATGAATGAGTCTACAAGAAGTAGCACTTTTTCAAACTCTCAAAGAGATTTGCGAATCCTAAGAATTTATCACCTGCTGCTGCTTACAAACTGTCCCTCCCTTCATGTCTCACACTGTCCTCCTCACACCCAAGTTACACTGCATCGCATGTTGACGTTGTCAGCGTACAGATGTTCTCGTTTGAACTAGGGGAAAGCAATCTGGATTCTTGTTGTGTAGCTATTCCTGTTTTTCTCCAGATAAGTCACATGTGTAGATCTGAGATAGTCCGATGAGTCTTAACTAAAGCATTCAAAAAATTCTCCCTGGTATTTTGTGACACTCGGTTTCCATTCGCATCTCTTATTCTCTCAAGGGATCCTCCTCCACATTCAAAAC